CAGCAGACCTTCTGGAGGGACCAGCTCTGTCTCCTCTCCCTCCCCCAGCTCCCGGCTCAGGGTCTCCTCTGGCTCACTCGGCAAGCTCTGCTGGTCCAAATCTGTGCAGAACACAAAGGGTCAGGAACATACCTGCTGTTCTGATGAGAACTCAGGCACGGAAAGAGGGGCCAGGCCTTAAATGTTTAAAGGTCTTTCAGCTCAGAGTGGAATTAGGGGGTCAGTTCCCCACAAACATTTATGGGGACAACAAGCAGAGAGCACAGCTAGCAATTCACGATGGAAAAGGAGGATTGGGAGGGGCACAGGGCTTCCCATACCCTCTGAGACATCAGTTAGTTGTGGAGTTGTGGCCCGGGAAACAGAGAAGCCGCCACTCTCCAAGATAGAAGCCTCCTCATCTGATAGCTCTGAGTCTGTAATGGCTAAAGCCAGGGCTGTTTTCTTCACATCCACCTGTAGAAGAACCAGGATGAACATGACAGGTGAGGGGATAAGAGAATCAGGAGCTCCTCCTCAACCCCACTGCCCCTCCCCATGACTTCCACCCTCTTGAGTAGTGGCTGCCCTAAAGCAGAAAGCTTCTCCCCAAGCCTTCTACTTGACACCCCATCTCCCTTGGACCTCACCACTGGTGAGAAGCCAGCCAGTTCTGCTTCGCTTTCACTCTCTGTCTCCGCCAGTGGCTCATCACCTCCAGGGGGTACATTCTTCCCCTGCCGCTCTAGAGAAGCAAGGGTAGCAGAGCAGTGACCAGTAAGGGATAGTGGTGGGAGACAAGGGAATGGGAAGTGTACCTAAATTCCAGGGCATTTCATTAGCCACAAGACAAGGCTCTCTCCCGCCTTCTCCTCCAGGGTTATGGGGGCCCCTTACTCCTCTTGTCGTGTTTGTGATGTAGGGCATCAGCTTCCGCCTTCATGCTGTAGTCCAGTTGCATAAGCAGGGGCTCCAGGCGAGTGTACATCCTCTGGATCAGCTCATGATAAACCACCAGGGGCCACAGCAGGATACTCAGCACTAGGAGTTAAAGAGTCCACTCAGAGCTCCCAAACCTATTTCCTAAGAGTCCCCATTCAACTGGTCCCTCAACAGCAAGGGCTAAAGGAAGACAAGGTCCTTTCCTAAGGCTGTGCCAACCTCTTCCCTCCGTATCTACTGCCCTCCTCCCCAGATGATTCTTCCACTGTTACTAATACTGCAGCATCCCCTGGAAATATCTGTAAATGGGTAACTGAGCAGACAGAGACTGTTCTGGCTTTGAGTCAGTCCAGAAAAAGAAAACAAAGACAGAGCTTTGGGAAGAGCATGGGCTAGACCCTACTCACAGACAATGTAGGAAATCATAATCCCTGGAACATAGTGTCCCAGCACAGCCAGCACAGCACAGCCAGAGCAAACTCGAGCACAGAACTGCAGAGAAGAGCACAAGGTCTAAGAACTATGGGCTGAAGTACACACCCCACTTATCTGGGTAAGAAACTACTGTTCAGCTGGTGGAAGGGTGAGTATGCCTTCTAGAAGTGCAGTGATCCAATCTAGTCAAGAGAGTGCCTAAGACCACCAATTCAGGTTTGCAACAGACATTGCCAAACACCTATAATGTAAACCAGCCTGCCGTGGCAGGAATCAGTGTCACAACATCAGAAGCTTACTGCCTGAGGTGAGATGCCTCCTGTACCAGGCTAATGACTGTGAACGCTGGCTCAAGAAGGCACCAGGCCTCTTCCTTCTGTCTCTAGCCAGGGAGTTCACATCACTCCTCCCCATCTTCCCACCACCTCTACTTCCCCACAGTTCAGGGAACTGCTGTATGACACAGGGGAGGTTACCTGAGCTGGATTCTGCCTTTTGTACTGCAGCAGCTCCTGCAGGTGAATCTGGAAGGTGAGCCAGCTCTCAGCCAGGTATCTGCACAACTCAGGCACACTCAGCAGGTGCGGCCGGGCGCCTGACCCCGCACCCTCACTGGGGAGACACGACATGACCCCTAGAACCTCAGACACTCAAAAATTCCTCTGAGAATGCCAATGAGATCTTCAGTCTGAGGAAGTAGACAACCCCACCTCCCAAAGGGAGGCTGTTCTGGTCTTGGGAAGCAAAGCCCACAGTTCCAAACCCTCTGTCCCAAAAAGGAGCAGGTACACCAACACCTACATAGGAACCTGGGAACAAGTTTGTTACTAGTCCACTCACTATGCTGGGATCTGTGCCTGCAGAAGCTGCAGTGTTGTCCTGCACCGTGGTGACATCAGCACCAAAGCAAAATAGGGTTTGGGCATTTTTCTTCAAGAGGTGGCCTGCACTCACCTGTCAGAGTGTGGCTCCTCTGGCGATGATGCTAGAGAGAGAGGAGGGGGACAAATTATTGAGTGAGGGGGGCTCTGCAAGACACTCCCCAAGGCAGAAATAGTTGCCCCTCCTCTACAGTCCTAGAGCACTTTTTTCAAATGCCAACTGCCAAAGTATTACATTGTTGGTGTCATCTGTGTGTCTGTCTCCTTTAGACTTTAGCCTTTTCAAACACAGGAACCATATCTTATTCATGTTTACATCTCAAGCAACTCACAGTCTGGCACCTAGTTGGTCCAAAACGCCAATAAAATATATAGATATCAAGAACAATAAGAACTAATCCGTCTACAATTTTCTACCATATGTGAATCCCTACCATAAGCCCATTAACATGTATTCATTCACTCATTTAATCTTCTCCTCCCTATGAAGAAACTTCTATCATCACTGTTTTATAGGAAACTGAGGCAAACAGAAGCTGAACAACTTTTACAATGCCACACATACTGTAAATGGCAAAGCAGGCAATGTAATCCAGTCAATCTGACTGTAGAGTCCACAATCTTCACTACTACACTCACAAAATAACATTAATTTAGAAAACGAGGCAATTCTCGATTTCTTACTGGGGGAGTGGTAATGCCTAGGGGGCCGGGGGCCTGCTGTACATTCCCTTCACCATTAAACCCATCCAGCGGGGTCAGGCACAAAGCAAGTGCACAATGGAGCCTGCTGAATGAAGTACACTCACCTGAGATGTCAGGGAGGAAGCGAGGCTGCCAGAGATCGAGCAGAAAATAGGCCAAAAGTGAGATGCTGAGCAGGAAGAAAGGCCGGAGGGACGACGAAGACAGCAACCTTAGGGAAAGACAGGCACCTCAGCGGCGAGGAGGCTCCTGCATCCATTACAAAGGGCGAAAAGCGCCCACTGACGGTGGAATGAGAACCTCCAGGCCTAATTCGAGACGCGAAGACAGAGAAATGGGCCAACCCAGGTGGACAACGGCCTTTAAAAATTAAGGAATGGGTCATTCCACCAAGTCAAGTGTCAACCCCAAGAACAGGAACGGTGCTCCCAGGCCTTCCCGCCCCCGCGCTCCCGGCGCAGCCCGGCCCCGCCCCCTCCTCCGCGGCCGTTACCAGAAGAGGCCGTTGAGCGCGGCCGCGGTGACGAGGCTGTGCAGCGGCTTCTCCCACACCAGCAGCCGCTGCGCTGACGCCAGCACTGCTTCCCAGCCGCGGAGCCGCAGCCACAGCGTCGAGGCCAGGCGTCCCACCGCCTCGGCCGTGGCCGCCTCATCCTCCGCCTCACCGGTGGTCTCACCCATGCCTAGACTCAGACCCAGGCCCAGGCCGAGGTTCAGGCCCAGCCCCGGGGCCCCACCCGCGCCGGTGTCACCGCCGCCACCACCACTCGCCATAACCCCGCCGCAGCCGCCGCCCGAGCCCGCAAGGAGCCAGGGCTGCGCGAGCGCCGCTGGGGGCGCGTCAGACGGAAGGGGGCGCCAGCCGACAAGATCGCCGCGGAGGCCGGCGATGGGCGTCACGTGACGGAGAAATGACGAACCCTCACGTGACGCATCCTAACCGTTGGGATAGGAGGGGCCCGCGCTTGCGCGCGCGGACGGCTACCAGTGACCCTCCTCTTACGCAGGAGCGTGTTCTGGCTCCTGAAGTCTTGAACCTGGGTAGTGGTCGGAGCGTGTCTGGTTCTGTCTGACCGGGTGACTGTGTTTCCGCGTTTCCCCACCCCAGCCCTTTTTCTTCTCCCGATGTAGGCAGGGCGGCTTGGGAGTCTGGTGCTGGCGTGGTATTCCCAGTGTGATGGGACCGTAGGGGCAGGAAGTGGGCTTCCTGATGGCCAGTATACCTGGGTTGGATCTGCTTCTGCTCCGGGAGGGCGGCGGCCGTCCGGTTACTCAACCTTCGACGTACTGGTCCCCCCAGTTCCCTCCTTTAAGCAAATAAACACCAGCGCGTGACTCGACAGACTCAAAAACAGCTTCACTTACTCTGAAAACTTGTTTCCGCCCATCTCATGTTTCTGTAAACTTTTCTCTCTTCCACCTATCAGCGAAATTGGGGTCGCGAGGTAAGTTTAAAACCAAAGCCCTGTTTACGTGCGGTTTACTCTTTGGGGACATAACACCGGTTATTGACGGGGGCTTTATTTTCCTTTGAGATCATTTAATCTCTACACCCTATAAAATAGGCATTTAATTAGATTAAAAATTACAAACTCTACTAAAAAAATGCATACAGCAAAAACTAAGATTCCCTGTCACCTTGTCCACAGTTCGCCCACTACGTTTCTTGTCCTACATCTTTCTTTTATTCACATTAACATATAGTCCTTGTGGAAGGGTCAGCTGGAAACCTCCGCATGGCCCCCCAGGAACTGTCCCTGTGTCTTAGACGAGGGCACCCTGGGGCTCAACTTGGTGACTTGCCCAGGTTCAGTGCTACCAAGAATTCGAGCTCGGCTCCTTGCGGACGGTGGTGGCCTGCGGCTCGACGCAGCGGGCGGCAGGAAGTGCCAGGCACCGACTCGCTGGCAACACCCCCGCGTCTTGTAAACGTGGGACAGACGCGTGGTGTGGCACAGCGTGCTTCGCACGGGTCGCGGCCGGGTCTCTCTACCTGGCGAGGTGAGTGCCCGGCGCTCAGGCCCGGAGCCCCGCCCGGGGCGGAACAGGAAGAGGCGCCCGCCGCCCGGGCCCCGCCTGCAGCCGCTGGCGCGAGGGGAGGGGGCTGACTGGCGAGGGCGGCGGCCGTTCAGAGGAGGCCGGCGGGCAGGCGACGGCTCCGCGGCCCCCTTACAACTCCTTCCTTTCCCTACTACCTTCGCAGGGCCGTGACTGGTGGCGCGATGGACCTGGCCGGGCTCCTGCTGGACGAAGAAGGCACCTTCTCCCTCACTGGCTTCCAGGACTTCACGGTGAGCGCGCGGCCCGCCCCCTCCCTGGCCTCCCAGCGCTTGGAGCGGAGACCCCGGGCGCTGCTCTCGGGGCCCGAATGGGGCCGAAAGCTCGCCTGACAACCCTGTACCCGAACTGGCAGCAGCCGTTTGGGCCATGCCTACTCGAGGCCCCGGCTGCTTGGGCCTGAGGGAAAGCCGCGGTGCACAGGAATGGGGCAGGGGGTGGCCAGCCGGGACTCTTCTCGGAGAACCTCTCCTGGGGAGCCCTCAGTTGGGGATCATGCCGCCCCCCAGGGACAGGCTGCCGTTGGCAAACAATCCAGAGAAAGCGGGGCTGGGTGGGGCAATGGCCCCGTGAGCAGTGAGGCGGGCGCGCTGCCTCGCACCCCTCTTCCAGCCTGGGGCCAGGAGCTCTCTCGTACCCTTCCCTGCCCTTCAGCTTTCACCCCCGCCGTTTCAGTTCCTCCCAGGACACCAGAAGCTGAGTGCCCGCATCCGAAGGAGACTCTACTATGGCTGGGATTGGGAAGCTGACTGTAACCTGGAGGAGCTTTCCAGCCCCGTGGCAGGTTCGATAGTGTTGTGCGACCTGGCAAGTGAGAAGCACGAGTGTGGGGTTGTCAGCAGCCACCAGAATGAGAGCCATAGCTAACTCTTAGATACTTGGCATAAAGACTGGCTTATATTTCACATTTCTGTCACTCAAGTGAGTAAAACACATTGGTGTCTTAGAAATCTAAATCACTCTTGATTTGTGTATCAGAAACTAAATTTCTCAACTTTTCATCATATGTTCCCAAATAAACAAGGCATGTTTATTCCCTCAAATGAACCAAGTGGAAAACAAATTTTAGGTGGTAGGGAAATAAGTCTTCTGGTGGATGGAGCTGAAATTCAAATGTGGAGTGTTTTGTTTGTTTTTGTCAGTGTGGAAGAATTTGGTCTCTATTTTGTTACTATGGTCTGTCCAGGCCTCTAATTACAGATCTGGGTCTGCTGCTGCTGACAGTGCACACTAGCTGGGGGCAGGGGAATTGTTTGCTCAGTCTGCCTGCCTTTTGCCCCTGCAGACATTGCTGTGGAACTGCTCCAGAAGGCAGCCCCCAGCCCTATTCGTCGACTCCGGAAGAAATATGTAGCCCATGTATCCCGGTGAGCCTGGAATTGAGGGGGTCAGATGAAAGTGTTTGGGCCGAAGAGAGGGGAAATTGTTATCTCTGAAGGGAAGCTGTAAAGATCCTAAGAGTTACAAGAGCTGAGGACCCTTGGGTTTAATTACTGACCCTTTTCACTATCCAGCGAGGCATGCATCTCTCCGTGTGCTATGATGCTAGCTCTAGTGTACATTGAGCGGCTCCGACATCGAAACCCTGACTACCTACAGCATGTGTCATCCTCTGACTTGTTCTTGATTTCCATGGTAAGATACCCTCTCCCCTTTGTTTCCCTGATGAGCCAGGAGCTGAGTGTGAGCTTTACTGACTCCACCTCTGACTCCTCTGCAGATGGTGGCCAGTAAGTACCTCTATGATGAAGGGGAGGAGGAGGAGGTTTTTAACGATGAATGGGGAGCTGCAGGGGGTGTGGCCGTGCCTACTCTCAATGACCTGGAGAGGGGCTTCCTGAGCGCCATGGTGAGTAGCTCCTCTCTCTCTTGCTCTCTTCTCTGACCCATCTTTATGTTCCTTTCCTCCCTTTTCTTCTGTCTTAGTCTTCTATTATTTCGTCATTTTTCTTTCTGCCTGTTCCCTTTTGTCTTTCCTTGTTAGCATCTTCCTTTCCTAGCCTTTCTGGATTAACCACAACTTTTGGAGGTTCCTGGCATGGTGGGACCAAAAATGGAGCATGCCCCACCCACCATTCCTCTAGCCCAATAAAATCACTCTTGAGTCAGAGCTCATCTTACTGGGTTCTGATTATTTACTTCTAGACTCTCTGCCCCTTAGTCTCTGAGCTCCCTATGGGCATGAACCATTCTCAGGAGTTTCTTTACCCTTGCCCCTAAGGGAGGATATAATGGGATATGTGATTAAATAAGTTAATACCTAAAAGCTCTTCTAACAGTGTTTGGCACTCAGTAAGCACAAGTTAGCGTCAGCCGTAGTGGTGGTTGTAGTTAGTGCTGTGGCTCTGCTTATTGATTAAATGACTATGGCTTATTTCTGAACCTGGTTTGGTACCTTTCTCTTCCTACCCACAGGACTGGCATCTCTACACTGATCCTCGGGAGATCTTTGAGGTGCTGAGCTGGCTTGAGAGCTGGTAGGTTCTAGGAGTTGAGAAGAGGGGCTGAGGTGTAAGCCGCAGGAATGAAACAGAGATGAGGATCTGTGTAACTGGAGGGAAGGAGGAGACAGGAAAGAGAATTGCCCAAGGTAGTCGTTCACACACCTGTCTGCCCTCTCTGTGATCTCCTTTGGATGCATGGGAGAAGCATATTTAAAATACAGATCTTGGTGTCACTCTCAGTTTCTGGGTCAATGGGTAGCCTAGGAATCCTTACATTTAACAACTTTGCTAGTTTCCTGGTGGCTCCCTAGGGGAAGGAGGGTGCTGTTGGGCTGGCTGCCCCAGAGTTGCAAACCTTTTCTGTTGTTTCTCCCCTTCTGACAGTGTGGCTGAGCAGCAGGGACGGCGGCGGGGCTGGTATACCTACACAGACCTGTGTGTGTTGCTGGAGCAGCCAGCCTGGCAGATGGCCCTGGGCTCCTTCTTCCATAGGCTGGCAAAGGTGAGGAGGGGTCAGGAAAACTAGGGGGCTTGAATAGCTGGTAGGGTGGGAAGATGTAAAGCAAATGCTAAAAGGCTTCAGGAGATGGGAGTTTGAAAATAGATAGTGATGGAGAGCTCTAACTCAAATATAAGTTTCCAGAGACAAAGGTTGGATATATTAAAGACAGTCAGAAGCAGGTTTGGGGGAAGGGTGTTTGGGCCCTGACCTTTCTTACCCTCTTTTCTGCAGCTGTCCTGCCTGTTAGCTATGGCATATGTGAGCAGCGTGGCCCTGGCTGTGGCAACGGTGGCTGTAATACACCAGTCCTTGGGGCTGTCCTGCAGCCCCACACCTGGTCCCCCAGACCTTGGACTGACCTCTAGGTGCTTCTTGGAACTCTGCATACCTTCTCCTGTGCCACAGTGCCTGCCATCTCCTGCTAATGTCTCCAGCTGCCTGGAAGGCGACGTAGGGCTGCATTCACTCTGGGGCAATCTTCTAGCCTCACTGACTCCCCCACCATTGCCTCCCCCAGAGCCCCCTTCCCCTCCCACTCTTCTCCATAACTGTCCCCTTTGCCAGAAGCCCCAAAGAGACTCCCCAACCTGCCGCACCTGCCATCACCCCAACCATACAGTCCCCAGTGGGCCCCCCAGCCTCTGGTACCACTCCCCTGGTCTGGCTCCACCCTGGCTCTGGAGCCCAACACCCCCTCTGCTTCCCCAGCCCCAGCAATGTTCTCTTTTCAGTGTTATGGAGCTGGCCCGTCTCAAGTCTTTCATTTTCCCAGGCTAGAAGGGCTCCAAGGAGTGCATTAAGAGGATTTGGGCATCCCCGAGACCCTGGGGGAGAAAGTTTGATTTAGATCCTCTCTACCTCTGGGTCCTTGGCTGGTCCCCTGTCCTCCTAGGTGATGGATCTTAAGGGGTTATAGGGCAGAAGGGCCGAAGGTCACTTACTTTCCTGGACCTAAGTGGCTGGCTGGCTGGCTAGGACAGTGATGGTGCCAAGGAAAGTTTCAGCTTGGTGACCAGAGGCATGTCACAGATGGACAGAGGAGAAGCCCCTGTCTTTCCACCTCCCCTGGACTCTTCTAGACTTTTGCTTTTGAGTTCCCTAGGATGGAAGGGTTAAGGTGGGAGATGGGAGAAGTGGGGTGAGGGAGGGAGGAAATTTTGATCGGGGTCTGTGTGATGTCCCTCAGCAGGAGAGCCAGGGACTGATAGGGCCAGGTGGGTGCTACTGTGGGCAGGTGGGGTAAGGTGGGAAACCCTCTCCACCTGCCCTTTCATGTAGTGTAAAGGGCCACAGACTGCTGGGACTTTCGCCTTTGTCCTTTTGTCTTCCAGCCTTCTCTGTACCCTGCTTCTGGGTTTCCCTCTTTGATTCCTCTCCTGGGTGTTCTCTTCACAGGCCTCTCTGGCTACTGCTTTGTATCTGGGTTTTTCATGCTTTTGTAGAACTGAAATTTCAATAAACAGTTTCCGTTGCATGGACTGGACTTTTCCTTCTGCGGCAGCCTTCAAAGAACTTTCCTTCCAATATCTGCCTTCTAAGCCTCCCTACTTCCTGATCTGTCATCTTGCAACTCTGAGCCCCATTTCAGAACTTCCCTGTTTGACTGTCATAGGATCCCTTTGACTGTCACAGGATCCCATTTCAAACTTCTCCAACTCCCAGCACCTGGGGGCCCCTGGCACTGCTTGGCTCGGGTGCCATGGGGCACAGATGGTGACTGTACTATGCCTGGAGTTGGCCCTTTGGCCCTGTCACAAGTTCTGGGTGAGCACCATTCCTGTGGATCCTGAAGCACATCTTGTGGAGAGAGGCCAAGCTGAACATCCAACAGAGCCACATGAGCGACTTGAGAACCCTGAGGACACCTGTTTCTATCTTGACTTCCAATCCTGTCTGAAACATGGTGGTGATCAGTGTTCAGAAATCCAAAGCTGGGTTATTGAAAAAAGGAAATCTTCCTGCAGCTGAACTGAGGATATGTGCTGCTGCTTAAGATGATCCACGGCTGGGGTGGTACTGCCCCCTAGGGGGAACTTTGAAAATTTAGGGGGTGTTTTTTGATTATCACAAACATTTGAAGGGATACTACAGCATTTACCTGGCCTGGGTGAGATGCTAGACATCTTGAAATACTAGGACCCCCCTTATAATGAAGAATTTCCAGAACACCTTTTTTTTTCCTCACTTTTTATTTTTATTTTTTTATTAAGGTGTCTGATATACACCCTTTTGAAGGTTTCACATGAAAAACGTGGTTACTACATTCACCCATATTATCAAGTCCCCCCCATACCCCACTGAAGTTGCCATCAGTGTAATAAGATGACACAGTCACTACTTGGCTTTCCTATGCTGCACTGTCTTCCCTGTGACCCCTCCCAGACCATGTGTACCAATCATGATACCCCTCAATCCCCTCCCCCCTCCCTCACCCTGTGGAGCCTGTGTCCTCTGCTGTCCAGAATACATTTTAAATGGCCAATTGCACATCATGTATATGAAAAGCGTGTTATATGAGCCTAGAACTATCTTAGTCTTATAATCACAAAATACTTTTTGCACATTTTGAAAGACTCAGTTTGTCAGTGTACAACCATGTAACTTAAAACTCTACTTCGCTTTGTTCAGCACTTCACCAAAAGCTTTTTCACTGTTTTGGAGCATCAGGTCACCAATGGGAAGACCACCTGTTGTGTATGAATAGCCAGCAAACAACAGTATCAGTTGACTTTAGCTGTCACATCCACAGTGATTCTGTATGCTGGGGTGGGCACTGGACTGCTTCACTGTCTTCTGGTTGAGTTGGGCCCAGGCTTTCACATACTAAAATACTTGTTATATAAGTATATTCCATTTATTTCTCCTTTATGTTACAGTGAGGACACTGTGGAGTGGTGGTCGTTGTTGCCTTGTGTCACATAGGGATATTGCCCATGCATTTCCTTTTGAGGTAGTCCAGTAGGCTTGACCCTGAAAGGGTTGAGAACTGTGGTGTCACATTGATAGTTCCAAGTGGTGGTAGAGTGGAGGGTATACAGGCTGTAAGCCCCTTCCCCCATCCTGTTTTCCAGAGCCTAGATGGACATTCTTGGGGGGAGGGGTCCAGAAGATGGTTCCCCAGTTAATGGGTGATGGAATTTGCACAAGAGCTGGGCAAAGGTGAAAGGGCCATGTCCTGCCCCAAATCCCTCATCCCTTCTCTCCGCTTCATTGACACCACCACCTCCTCCCCACTCCAGGCAGCTAACTTCACCTAAACTCTGACCTCTTACTCCTGCTACTTAACTCTGGCCCAGGGCAGCCAAGACAAGACTAAAGGCAGGGCAGCATGAGCCGATCACCTCCCTATCCCATCCAACTCCGATCCACAGGCTCACAGGATGCCCTGGCCCCCCTGCCACTGCCTGCTGTTCAAAATCCCTCTCACTCTTGGGCTTCTCTGTGTGGGCCTCCTCCCTGGGGCCTCAGCTGTGTTCTGGCTCTGCAGGTAGGTGGCAGAGGTGCAGAAATTGGTGCTGGCTGAAGGAGTGGTTGGGGGAAGTAGATGTGGCATGAGAAATCCTCTGGAAATAAGTATTTCCACCTATTTCTGAAGACCGCCCCTTCTCATTCCTCCATCTGCAGCATATCTTGGTCCTGGCTTCTCTGCTCTGTGTTTCCCACCTGCTCCTGCTTCAAAGTCTCCCCCCAGGGGGACTCTCTTACTCCCCTGCCCAGCTCCTGGCCTCCAGCCTCTTTTCGTGTGGTGTGTCTACTGCCCTGCAAATTTGGATGGGCAGCAGGTGAGGGGAGGTCCCTGGTGAGAAGGGGGCAGGGTCCCAGGGTCAGGGGAGGCTTGGCGAGTCCTTGGGCTGCCCCATGTTCCCTACAGGCTACCTCTTGTGCAGGCTCCATCCTTAGAGTTCCTTGTCCCTGCTATGGTGCTGACCAGCCAGAAGCTACCTCTGGCCATTCGGACACCTGGAAACTGTGAGCACAGAACAAGGGCACAGGGTGAGAGGGGTTGGGTGCTAATCTTAGCATACAGGTGTAGGTAGGTGGATGATTGAGACTGGGCAGTGATGGGGCTGGTAGGCTCTGCAGTTATGCCAGGCACCAGCTAGGACTGTAGCATAATGGGTCTGCATCACATTTACCTTTCTCCTCTCCATGCCTCCAACTTCTCCCAGCCTCCCTTGTGCTGCGCCTGTGTGAAGGGCCTGACTGCCATGGCCTGGAGGTCTGGAACAGTTCTCTTCGAGAGGCAAGTGCCTGGAGATGGGGAGCAGGGGGGCTAAAGATGGTGCCTGGATTGGGGAGACTCTTGTCTCCATTTTGCAGGGACTGAGATGCTCTGGGGGATAGAGTCAGGGGAAGGACTCACCCCTGGAATTAGTTAAGTCCAGGATGAGGTCAGCTTGACTGAGCAGAATTTCTCTGTCTTCTCCACTTCACCAGGTGTCTGGGGCTGTTGTGGTATCCGGGCTGCTGCAGGGCACGCTGGGGCTGTTGGGGGGTCCTGGCCACTTGTTCCTACACTGTGGGCCCCTGGTGCTGGCCCCCAGCCTGATCGTGGCAGGGCTGTCTGCCCACAGGGAGGTGGCTCTGTTCTGCTCTTCTCACTGGAGTCTGGCTTTGCTGTACGTGAGTCCTGAGAAGCATGTGGTGGTGACCAGCGGGTGTGCAGGACTGGGGGAGGGCAGAGCTGCTAGCCCTACCAGATTCAGCAGTGATCTGAGCAGAAACAACACATCTTATATTTGGAATCCAGGACTTTTGCTGGATTCATTTGCTCTCCTTGACTTTCACACTGTTTCTTGCTGACTCCAAAGGTGCCCTCCTTCCCTTTTCATGGGGCTTTCTTCTCTGGGATCCCTTTTGATGGTATCCTGCCACTCCCACCTCCATTATCCACTTCAGGATGCCTCCTCCTCTTACTCTGAAAGCTCCTTCTCTCTTCTAGGCTTATCCTGCTCATGGTGGTCTGTTCTCAGCACCTGGGCTCCTGCCAGTTACCCCCATGCCCCTGGAGACCAGCTTCAACCTCTTCCATTCATGCTCACATCCCTGCCTTCCGGCTCCTCTCGGTATGTGGGGGTCTGGGCTGGGGTTGACCTTAGGAGGGCTGGCATAGAATGCTTGTTTGGGCCCCACCTTTTGGCTTCTGTCTACTTGTTCAGGCTAGCTCAGAAGGTTCTGGGGAGGGCTTATTTTCCATCTCAGTCTTGCCCCTCAGGTGCTGATCCCAGTGGCCTGCATGTGGATTATCTGTGCCCCTCTGGGTCTCAGCACCACCCCTCTGGAGCTGTCTGCCCCCACTGAGGCGCCGTGGTTTTGGCTGCCTCACCCAGGTAGGTTTTCTCTTCATCCTTCATCCTCTCACTTAAATAAAGGTGTCTATTTCTTGGAATTCAAGACTTAATGGGTTTCTCTTCTGAGTTAAATCCTGTATTTTCTCAAAATGCCCAAGGGAGAGAAATTACCAGTCTGAGGGACAATGCCAGCCCCTCCTCACAGGTGTTCTATGCAGTGTTAAGAGATATCTACAAGTTCCACCACTCCTGTTGATACCCCTTACCCAGTGTATATAATTATGTTGTCTCCCCTCACCCCCGGCATTGTAATTGGTGACCTATGTATAAAGATTGCTTTTGAGGCATTGTGTATGAAATTTGCTCACTAATCATTTTAATAAAGGTCTGTTGAGTGCTGATTATGTGCTGGGCACATGATAGGGGAATAGAACATAAACATGACAGACAACAGGACCTGTACTTATGAAGCTTATAATCTGTTGGGGAATGTAGATACTAATTATTAAATAGTCACCCAGTGAAATGTAAAATTGCTATGTGATAAGTGTAATAACGGGGAGGTACATTGTGTGATGAGGGCTTATAATGGAAAATCTGATTGTATCAGAGAGGTCAGGAAAGGCATTCTTGAGGAAGTGATTATTGAGCTGAGAGGTGACAGATGGGTGAAGGCAAGAGAGAAGAGCATTCTGGGTGGTAAGAACAGCATATGCAAAGGCCCTGTGGTAGCCAGCAACAAGGCAAGTATAGGGGCCTAAGACGATCCAGTATATCTAGAGCGAAGGAAGTTAGGCAGACTGTGGTGGGAGATAAGGCCAGAAAGAGAAATGGAAGGGTCAGACCAAAAAGTATCTTGTAGACCATGATAAAGGGATGGGTCTTTATCCTGCGAGTTTGGTGGTTTCGTCCCAAGACATTATCTTCAAAGACAATGGGGCCTCTAGGATTCTTGTGGCACAGCCTTTGGAGGCAGGGGATGCTCCAGACTTGAGTCTGGGGCCCAAAAGTGGCTCTTTCTCCCTCCCCAGCTGAGTGGGACTGGCCGTTGCTGACACCCAGGGCTCTGGCTGCAGGCATCTCCATGGCTTTGGCAGCCTCCACCAGCTCCCTGGGCTGCTATGCCCTGTGTGGCCGGCTGTTGCAATTGCCTTCTCCACCTCCGCATGCTTGCAGTAGAGGCCTGAGCCTAGAGGGTCTGGGCAGTGTGCTGGCAGGGCTGCTGGGGAGCCCCATGGGCACTGCATCAAGCTTTCCCAATGTGGGCACAGTGAGTCTTATTCAGGTACGTGAACAGGGGAGTGGGGGTCTGGAGGTGTGGGAGAGGAAAAGGAACTCACACTGATTTCTTGCCAGCTGTGCCCAGCACTGTCAGGCACTTGACATCAGTGATCTGAGGGGTTAGGGGATGCCTAGAAGTGGTAAGGGGCTAGAGTATGAGGAAAACACTAAATCACTACTGAATTCCTTCTATACCTCAGGCACTGAACCAGGGCTGGGGTTCCAGTGCAGAGCAAGTCAGAGAAAGTCCCTGCTCTTCTGAGAACTTCAGAGGGGGAGAGGGAGACGATTTAAGAAAAAAGTAAATAATTTCAGAGAGTGACAAGTGCTATTGAGAAAACAAAGCAGGGTAGCGGTATGGAGGCTGAGTAAAGGAGGCCCCTTTAGGTAGAGTGCCCGCAGATGATTCTTAGAAGGGTAACATTTGGGTTGGGATCTGAATGATGAGACGGGGCTGGCCAGGCAAAAACCTTGAACAGTTGAGGAGGTGACTGTTTCCCAGTGTCTCTTCACGTAGGCTGGATCTCGGCGAGTGGCCCACCTGGTGGGGCTGCTCTGCATGGGGCTCGGGCTCTCCCCGAGGCTGGCCCAGCTCCTCACCACCATCCCGCTGCCTGTGCTTGGTGAGTTGATCTATCAGCAGGACTTGGTAGTGAACCAGAACCTCCCAGCATGGCTCAAGTGGTTGCTTGTGGCTGACACCCTTTCTTTCTGAATAGCCTCCCTGATACTTAGATACAAGCGTGTGTCATCTGCCTTCACGTTCTCAGCCCAACATCTTGGCTTCTGACTGAATCAGAAATGGGACTTTTGGTCTTCTCTCTCCATCACAACCTGCACCTGCCCTGTAATACTCCCTGCAGTGCTAGCCCTCTTCCAACCTCTTTGATTGCTTCTGTATGAGACAGGTGGGGTGCTGGGGGTGACCCAGGCCGTGGTTCTATCTACTGGATTCTCCAGCTTCTACCTGACAGACATTGACTCTGGGCGCAATGTCTTCATTGTTGGCTTCTGCATCTTCATGGCCCTGCTGTTGCCAAGATGGCTTCGGGAAGCCCCTGTCCTGAGCACAGGTGGGAGAAGTAGGGAGGGGAAGAGTTGCTCAGTAGCGGGAAAGCAGGGCTTGAGGCTCAAGGCTCTCTGGATTCCAGGTCCCACACCTTTCTCTGGGCTTTAGTGTAAATAGTTCATCCATATGTATAGTAACATTAAGCACCCTGCTAGCTCCTTGGGATACAACTCTGGCTCCAGAGGTTACAGAGATGAGATACACAGGAACATAACAGAAAAGGTTCAGATAAGGAGCTATGGTGCTCAGCAGTGAGAGAGAGGTTTCTGCTTAAGATAATCCAGTTGAGTTTTATGGAGAAAGTAACACTGAGCTTGTCTTGAAGGATGGTTAAGATTTAAACGTATTTGGGGAAAAGAAGGAAGGTGGAATAACCATCATAAAAGATGTAGACATAGCAGGTAGTCAGAGTAGGTCATGGGAGCACGAGATAACTTACTTAGTTCAGTTTAGTGAATGGCAGTGCTTCTCAACTGAGGATGATTTTGCTTCCCAGGGAATATTTGGCAATGTCTAGAGACATTTTTGGCTGTTAGAAATGGGAGAGGGGCTTGTCACTGGCATTTGGTGCTAGAGGGATGCTGCTAAAAACCCAACAATGCACAGGACAGTTCCCATTAAACAAATAATTAGTTGGTCCAAAGTGTCAGTAGTACTAAGGTTGCAAAACCCAGGCTAGAACATAGAAGGTAAGAAGCCGGAAATAAGGTTGGGGATTTTTAATATCAAACCTTCCAGAGATGTGAGCCTGAAACTATCAGAACCTATCTGGAGAGCATGTGGATGCTCAGAAGATAGGGCGGTGAGCAGGGATCTTGTGGGAAGGGCCTGCGAAATGGAGAGTAGAGGGACAAAGGCTGGGATTGGAGGATGGAATGACAATACAGAAATATGTTTAGTCCAAGACTTAGGTTTAGGCCTGAAAGTATAAGACTCCTTGGCCTTGCATAGGATCAGAGTTCCCCTCCTGCCTGGCCCCAATCTATTGTAGGCTGGAGTCCCTTGGATGTGTTACTGCACTCGCTGCTCATGGAGTCGGTCTTCCTGGCGGGACTCTTAGGCTTCCTCCTAGAGAACACCATTCCTGGTAAGTTGAGGCCAGGCCCAGGCAGACTAAGGAGTAGCCAGGAAGTCATCACTCTCTGGATTGGGTAATGGCTTGACTAGGCTCTGTTTTGCAGGTACCCGGCTTGAGAGAGGCCTAGGTCAAAGTCTGTCATCTCCTGTTGCTGCCCAAGAGGCTCAGATGCCTCAGAAGTCCAGTGAGAAGGCTGCTCAAGAGTACGAGATTCCTTTCCCCATCCAAAATCTGTGTCCTTGCATCCCCCAACCCCTGCATTGCCTCTGCCCGCTGCCTGAAGACCCTGGGAATGAGGAAGGAGCACCCTCTGAGCCAGGAGAGACAGCCGACTTGCTGCCTAGCAATGGGAGGCAGTGCCCTGGGTCTAGCAGAGAACTTAGGTCCTAGTAATTACCAGAACTTGTACAACTTCCCTGGATAGTTTAGCCCTATCTCCCAGCTTGCTGGAGAGTGAGCTCCCAAGCACTACTTTCTCCAAGAGGTGTGTGTGTGTATGTGTGAGAAATGGGCCCACCTATATATAGGTTTCATTTCCCAATAGGTGTTTTGCCTTTTCTTCTAATTAGGCCCAAACTGTTCCAGAACAAGGGCCATGGTTCAGTGGACCATAAATGAATGAATGAGATTTTGCCTGTGAACTATCTATACTGGAACCCCAGCATTCACTTAAATATTTATTGAGTGCCTCCCATGTGTAAGGTTCTGCAACTACAGACATGGATGAGCCAGGGTCTCTAACCTCTCAGGGCACTTACTGTTGAGAAAGATTTATGTAATTTCTAACTAAAATGCAAAGCAGAAGGCAGTCTGTAATAAAAAATTAAAACAATGCTATGGGATCAAAGAGGAAGAAACAATGAATTCTGATTGGGGATAATGGGTAGGCTCTGAAAGCAGCAGTACTGAGGCTGTCCTTGACAAGGGGATTTTGGGTTGTGGAAAACGGATGGGGGGGTTTTCAGGCTCAGGTATCCAGCTGGAGCAAAACCGTTAAATTGTTATCGAGCAGAAGATAAGTTAAGGGATTTGTGGTGATGGAGCTTAAGTATGGGGATGGATGGAGGGAGGAATGAGACTGGAGAGGTAAAGGATGAGGTCAGACCGAGGATTTATGCCTGGGAGACTCACCTCCGAGAACCCGATAGATTATCTAGTAAAGTTCAATCCTTTGTTTAAAAAAAAAAAAAAAAGGTTGAACAGGTAGGGGAAAGTGACTTTAATTGATCGACAAGTCCAAATCCGGGAACCCCTCTCCTGCACCTCTTCCGGCATTCTTTCTACTCCAACAGCGTGACTCGAAGAACACCACTAACCCCTCCGGCTTTTTACCCGCAGTCTCCCAGCCTGTAGCTTTCCTGGCCCCAGCTGCCTCCCAGCTCTGCGCGCTCCTTTTAATCAGCTCAAGGCTTAATGCCCCGCCCACGTCGGGTCTGTGCTCCGCCTCCATGTCCCAAAAGGCCTCTACTCTAGGCCTTTCGGTTTGCGCGGGCAGACTGGCCTGGCGCCGGGAGGTTGGGAGCTCTCGCGGCCACTCATGGTAGGTGGGGTCGGGCTCCAACCAAGGCCGGCCCGGGCGGCGAGGAGCTGCTCGGACCTTGCGGGTAGGCCTAGGCAGGTGCGCTTTCTCCCGGAAGGGCCTCCCGCGGCCGGAGCCGTAGGGCAGGCCTCTGGGGGTGGGCGGGGCCGCGCGTGCACAGCCCGGCTTCCGGCAGCGAGGCGGGGCTCGTGGGGCTGTCCTTTCGCCCGCTGCGTAGTGCGACGAAGCAGCTGTTTGTCTTTTGGTTTACCCCCTTAGTGGTCCCGGACTTGCCTTTGGGCAGCCGGTGGTGCAGAAAGAGAGGCGGACGGCGAAGACCGCCTTTCCAGTGAAGGCAGAAGAAAACGACACCGGGCGGGGCTCCTGGGGCGGGGCTGTGGTCGGGGGAAGCGAGGGTTCGTCCTCGCCCAGAGACACGGGGCGTGGCCCGGCCCGGAAGGTCCCTGGGGTCTTGCTTCCCTCTACAGGATGACGGAGGAACTGCGCTGAGACTGGGGCCCACCGCCGACGGGCGGGACTTGGTGCGGACTCCAGGGGACCCCACCCGGCTGTTGGCCCTTGGCGCTTTCCCCGTTCATTCAAGGGTAATAAACGGGTGCATAAGGTTAATGCGCAGGTTGAAAGTGGTCTTGAAGGAAAAAAAAAAGATGAGATACAGAGGCCTCAGACTCAACAGGACGCGCGTGGTGGGAGTCGCTGACCCCAGGTCTGGTGCTGAATGGCTCTACCCTGACCACATTTTAAACACCTCCTCCGCCCCCAAACAAAACAAAACAAAAAACCATCCTGTTTGAGGGGCCTGAGACTTTCTGACGTGTTGGGCTCGTATAATCAACCCAACTTGGGTCACTCCTAGAGCGCACGCTGGGGAGCACCTATAAGGGAGAAAAGGGCGTGGAAACTTAATTTCGTTGTGACCTTTGGCATTGTGGAATCCTGGTCCAGAGAAGACTGGCTCAGTCATTCCAAGACTTTTTCTTCCCTGTAGGAACAACAGCACATGGGAAACGGTGACTGAAGTCCCATCCTCCAAACACAAGGTTTTAATGCTGCTGCAAATAAAAATCATAACTTATATTTCACCTGTCTAGTGCCTGTACACATTAGGTGTAGTTACAAGGTTGCATTTCAAAAATTATGGTTGAAAGAATGGCTTAGACTGAGAGAGAAATGACTGGAGGAACAGAACTGTATTAACAGTGTTAATGAGCTCTAAGGAATTTCATAATTTTTTTTATCTTCTAAGACCCTCCCCCTCCCCCACACACTTCACTTTATATTTATAGACTGGAAAAATGAAGGAAATTTTATCACTTTCTTTTTCACCCACAGGAAAAATGATCAAACTTCCTGTAAAGTAGCCATAGGTACTGAACATTCCAGTAGGTGAAGGCTACAAATTTAGTTGTTGAATTAGAAAAGGTGGTTTCCAGGAGTTCCAGGATGTGCAGGAGGGCATGGTATTGATGGCAGTTCCCCAATAGTGGGAATGTGAGGGATGAGTGAAGTGGAAGTTAATTCATTGTCTCTACTTCTGTGATGTATTGTGCCTTGTATTCATGATTTCTTAGTCATTCAGGTTCTTTAAATGGAGATTTGGGACTTTTCTGTTTGCTTCTGGACACAGCTTATTAGCTCTTTATTTGCCATTGATCCCTTTGAGAATTTGCTGATAGCTATGGGTATATGCATGAACACAGAAATTTTTCATATAATCCCAGAGTATTCACATACATAAATTCTGGATTAAGAATCCCTGTCTTTGGGAATATATGCATAGAATATCTATGTCTGTGTGTGTGTGTTTTTGAAATTTGAAACTCTGAGAGCTTCCAGAGTTTTGTTTTTAGATAATGATCAAATAATTTGAATTTCCTGCCCATGACACTTATGACTTATGGTGTTTTATAAGACAGGAACTATTTCTTGTCTTCTGGAAGTTCTGGGAAAGGGTAGCATTGTCATATTTATTAGGAATGTGATAAAACTGCAACAAGAATGGTTTAGGTTTCCATGTTGTCATATTATTAGAAAGCAGAAATACTAAATACCAATACGCTGAGACTTAAAAGATAGAAGAGATATTTTACTCCTTTTAGGAACTCAATATGGGGGAAAAACCCCTCATAATTTTCTAAATAGATTTTTAGTTCCCCAGAGGTAGTAAGCTTGGCACCCAGCTGGCTATATATGGCGGGGTGGGGTGGGGGTGAGGTTGGGGTAAGGGGTAGAATGTAAATCTGTGCCTTGTGTTTTGTTTGGGAGGATTTTCAAGAGACATTTGATATATAACTGTCTGAGTGATGCCTCCCTCCTCCCTCCAGACCTAAAGTACCCTGGGACACTTTGCTAAATTAACTCTCCTGCAGATGGAGGAACTTGAACAAGGCCTATTGATGCAGCCATGGGCATGGATACAGCTTGCAGAGAAATCCCTCTTGGCCAAGGCTTATATCATCAAGGAGGGCTATGCCTTGCTTGTTTCAGATCTTCAACAGGTTTGGCACGAACAGGTGGATGCTAGCGTGGTCAGCCAGCGAGCCAAGGTAAGTGGGAAGAGAAGTACTGCTGTGAAGTGGTAGGGGATGTAATTTACTTCCCAGTGAAGGTCAGGGGACATTTATGTCAACCAGCTTGCTGGCCTGTAAGTTACCAAGGAAGGTTGAATCAGGTTGAGACAATTCTAGTTAGTGTTCTGCACTTCTACCCAGCCCTGATCCTTCCACAATGGTTGTGTGTGTGTGTGTGTGTGTGTGTGTGTGTGTGTGTGCGTGCATGCATGCATGTACACATATAGTCCAAGGCAGAACTCTTAGGTCAGTGGGTCTCTCTTCTTTTGTGTTCTTCTTTCCTGTTCGAATGTTTTTCTCTTCCCTTCTTTTCTCTCATGTCCACTGTCTCCATGTTAACCAGCTTTCCTTTGCTGTTACTTATGAGGGAGTCAGTTTCCTTTGGGCACCGTTACTCTGTATAACTCCTGCTGTCTTTTTAGGAGCTGAACAAGCGCCTCACTGCTCCCCCTGCAGCCTTTCTCCGTCATTTGGATGATCTGCTTCGCCCATTGTTGAAAGACACTGCTTGCCCTGGCGAAGCTACCTTCTCCTGTGACTGGGTGGCAGAGGCACTGATAATACGGGTGCGGAGTACACTCTCTGGTCTCCCCTTCTATTGGAATTTCCATTGCAGCCTAGCTAACCCGTCCTTGGTAAGTGCAAATCAAATATGGAGTAGGGAAGGAGAATCGCCAGCTTCTCTGAGATGAAGCTTCAGGTGCTCTTATTTTTTTGCAAACTCCATTTGAAATTCTCTCCAATTAAAAAAACTGTCCTTGACTGGACAGAAGGCAGAAAGGATTCTAGACTGGAACATCCCTTCCTTGCAGAGGGAGCAGAGTTTGGGTCTACATGCTTGATTGGGTGTCATTAGTCATTACTTTATTTATTCAAGATTTATTAAGCATCTACTTTGAACTAACTGTTGGGCATCCAGATCTAAGACAATATAGCCTATTCCTGGAGTTTATAATCTAGTGAGAAGACAGACAGGAAACGGGATAGAGTATGGTAAATTCTTTGATTGAGGTAAACCCAGGATGATCAAGGGTCCAAAAAACCTGTTTGAAGGGATAGTTTCTGACCTGAGTTTTGAAGATGAATAGGGAGAAAATAAAGAGGCCATTCTAGGCAAGAGTGCAGTTTGAGAGGCAGGGAGATGTATACACGTGGGGCAATTAGGAGAACTATATGACTGAAGGGAGAAAAGTGAGGTAGCCAATGGCCCAGATCTTGAAGAATTCTAATGAGTTTGGATTTTATCCCAAAGACAATGGGAGTTCATTGGAAAACTTAAGCAGGGGTTTAACATGAACCCATTTGTAATTTACCAAGATCCCTCTTGCGACAGGATGGACTATCTACCAGTGTCATGCACCTTTCTGAGCATTATCTCGTCATCCAATCCTCACAACTGTCCTGTAAGATAAGCATTATTATACTCATTTTTCAGAGTAGGACACTGAGGTTGAAGTTAATTTGTCCAGAGTCATCTGGCTTATACATGAATGAGCTGGAACTGGACTCCTAGGTCTGATTTGAGAGCCATTTTCAGAGACTAGGAGGATAAGGTCCTTGACTCACTTGTAGGTGTCCAGACCCCAGGAGTTTTTACTGGAAATTAGTTGAGAATGGACATTAGGAACCATTTGAAGGAATTACTACCACTGGTACCTTCCACCCTTCTATGTAAACAGAGCTTGTTTCAATCCGTAACATTGGAGGTCAGAGTCTTCTATGGGAGGTCTAAGGGTATAGGATTACCAGAAGAGGAATCTGAAGACAAGTGGGCATCATTTCTTATCTCCCTTATTTTTTCTTCCAGATGTGATGTGATGCTTTGGCATCAGTAGGATGGGTGGAACAAAGTGCTTTTTGAGAAACTATTCTCTAGTGTTATCTTTGATCTGGAATTCAGTAAAGCCAGACTTGAGTGCTTGGAGGACTACTACTACTCATTCATCTATGAATTTCTCAGGCCTACCAACAGTGCTTAGCAGATAACTATCTGCTACATAAATCACTCATTTATGTTGATTTTTATTGAATTTCTTGTGAAAATTTGCATCCTGCTTTATTTAGATGGACAATTTGCCTATTTTGTGCTAAACCCCTGTAACTTTTTCTAAGTAACACCAGGGGGCACTGTTCCCTCAATAATACTTGTTCTAAGACCAAAGCATTCAGGCTGCCTTTGTTAAGCTCCAGCAACAGCCACTCTCCTTTTGCATCACACAGCCGTGGAAACTCAGAATAGTGAAACTGGAGAGGTACTTCTCCTTGGGCTCAAATAGTTTTGTGGGGGTTTTTTTTTTGCAGAAAAATATAATAAAGAACACTTGTGTAATGATATAACTGAATAATACGTGAAGAAAAAACTAGCTCATCTAGGCAAATTCCTTTAATTTGGTAGCTGCAATAAGCAAAGGGGTTACAGTGTTTAGAGTGGAATGAGTCTTGGTTGACCATGGAAGGCGGTTAGCATTGAACAATTGATTAACAATTATGCTTTAAGGTAAAATAAGATATTTATTATTAAAAGGAGAAGAAGAATGGCATCTCAGGGAAACCCCTTAAACCTGAGGGAGGTTTATAGGGAAAAAGTTAGAGCCAGTGAACACTGGCAAGCATGTAGGTGGACACTATTTCAGGCTTGTATGTGTGCCTGTGAGGTCACACAGTCATATTTTTTGTTTGTTACTCATTCTTGTGATAGTTTTTGTCTAATTTTTTTTGAATGAGTAATTCATGTAAAAGGCCAACATTTCAAACAGAATTTAAGGATATACAGTGAAAAAATAGGTCTTTCTACCTGCCTTTTCCAGTCCCTCCTTTTCCTTCCCTAAAGCAACTACTGATAACAGACTTTTGTGAATTCTTAAAGAAAGCTGATTATAGGTATATATATAGGTATACACTCATGCAATCAGATACATATCTGGGTATATATATATGTGTTTTCACAAATCACAGCATGCCATTTACACTGTTCAGTATCTTACTTTTTTCACTTAATTGTAGAACTTAGAGATCATTCATAGCAATACATTTAGAAGGCCTGCCTTCTAATGGCAACATAGCATTTTACTACTGAGTATATTAACACATATTTCATTAATATGCTGCTAATAGATACTTAAATTGTTCCCATTCTTTTGTTGTTACAGTGAATATCCTTATATTTACATTTTCAGTGGGTACATGTGTGAGTTAATTTCTAGAAGTGGAAGAGTTGAATCAGGGAATATTTGCATCTTTAATCTTGCTAATGTAAGGCCAAATTGTCTTCCAGAGATATTATGCAGCTTAACTCCTACTAGTCATCCTGGAGAGGAAGAGAGTGCCTACGTCCAGGATTTCCCTACGCCTGCTACCATATAGTTTATTCACATGAGTAATTTAATAGTTCTTAAGTCTCTGCAGGCTATCGTGGAGTATATAAACTTTTGGTATCTGCTTTCTAACACTGACCCCATTTCCATTTCTGGCCAACTCCTTTTCATCTCCTCCTTCCCACTGTCTGTCCTTTCTAGTAGTTAACGTAATCCTTTGTTATTGTTGTTATTTTTTTCCCTAATGCAATTCTTGATATTCCATATTTTGACTTTAGAATTTGTCACCTCTTTGGCCACTTATAATTCCTAGGAGTCACATCCCAAATGATTTTTTTGTGGTAGAGAGAGCACAAACTTTGGGACCAGCAGACCTGTTGAATTTGGAACTCGGCTCCACCCCTTTGACTACTTATATTACCTCGGATGAGTTACTGAATTTTTATGAGACTCGATTTCTTCATCTGTAGAATGAAGATACCAATCAACCTTACTGTGGAGTTGTGGTGATTAGATTAAGAGAATGTATATAATATTACTTAACCTTAGCATTACAGTGGGTCCTTTTGCTATATCCAAGCTTGATATTCATCTTGTGATTGATAACTGCCATTCTGCTATCCTGCCTATGACTTGTGAACATTTCTGTGGGAAACCTGAAGATGTGGGGGGAAATTACAAACAGCTTTTTCTCTGGAGTATATTGACAACTCCTGCTTCTATATCCGCTATGTTTCCTGACCCCGGTAACTGTTGTGAGCTGTTTGAGGGCAGAGGCCTCAGAGGGTCAGAGCCCATCGTAGGCACATACTAGGTATTTGTTGAACTGACTTGTCGAACTGCATCTCTTCATGTATTGTTGTTGGTAAATGAAGTTGTTCGGGAATGGAATTCCCTGACCTAAAATACTTCAAGATTTTTCCTTATAGGGTATGTGGCTTTGCTTTGAAATCCAGTACTTTAGCCATAATGTCTGTTCTAATTAACTGATTGAAGCAAGTGTTCATCTAACTCCGAAATGAGTTCTACTCCAGTGATTCAGAGTGGTATAACCCAATCCTGTGAAATTTTTTCAGAAGTTAAATATTTACTAATAAAAAGGGTTTTTTGTTGTTGTTGTGGGTTTTTTTTGCTGTGTAGACATTCGAGTCTAGTAGATTATTTCAGGCATCTGGTATAGTATCGCCATATTTAATTAGACATGGCATTGATTAAAAACTGTTTCTCATCATGTTTCATGTTGTTATATTTACCGCTCAAAGAAATTGCTATTACGATGGCCTCCCAGAGGGAGGCTGGTCATTAACTTCAGGAGCTTCTGTTTGACTATCACGGACTCAATGATGATGTTGCTTGGTTAGCACTTAGTTACTTTCAGTTCCACCCACCAAACGTTGACTTGCTTTCATGAAAGTATTCACCTGTTCTTTCTCCTGATATGCCTTGAACAGGACCATAATTAACAAAACAATGCCTAAGAAAGAGGGTTGGGTCTAGAGCAGATAAATTTCCCAAAGCAGAACTTCTGCCACATTCTGAATAGCACTTCCTGGAGGCTTAAGTTTATACTAAGGACCTGAGCTGAGAGATAGTACCAGGTTGGGATGTGCCATGTGATGGAAAAAAGTGACTGGTGTCTATAGCTGGACCTGATTTTTGCCTTTCCGCTCTGTGCCAGTACCCTGCATTTGTTGGGTCCTGGTGCCAGGACAAAAGCTGCTGCCACTCACCCCTGACTGCCCCTTCACCCCCTCACTCACCCAGGCTCTTCTCTTTTAATCTGTTCCTAGAGGAATGGGGGAAAAATCTGTTCCTCTCTGAGTTGTTTTAGTAGTAAGTTTTACTAGAAAATTAATGGAAAATGAAAACACAAAAATCTGAAGAGTCCAGACTGCTGACCCTGATCCAGATGAGTCTGGCTTGCACATCTTATGGACACTCCAGTAACTTTTCCTCACTTCAAGCCTGTGTGGGGTGCCTTGTCTGAAAGTTCTTTGTAGTTCTAGGGCAGTGCTTGGCAGGTCAGTTCTGGCTTGCTGCCTGTTTTTGTAATGTTACGTCAGTACCCAGCCACCCTCACTTATTGCATGTTGTCTATGGCTGCTTTCATGCTACAACAGCAAAGTTGAGTATTGCAATAGCAGAGTCGTGGGCTGTATGGGCCACAGCGCTGAAAATATTGACTCTCAGGCCCTTACAGAAAGTTTTGCTGACCTCTAATCTAAGGCATTTCTTCTTAGTGCCTCCTTTAGCTCATCTTCGTGGGGGAAAGGAAAGGAACTCTGGTAACATCCCTTAGCCACAAATAGATTATTGATTTTAGTTATTTTCTTTGGCTAAGGCTTTCTTCTAAGGTTAATGGGCATCTTGCATAGGTGAATTAAATGATTATTCTACATAGCTATATGTTATATGAGAATATCATCCCAGCTGCACTGCAGTGTGGCTATGCTCATTTCCTTTCTTACCTTAATAAGAGCAAGATGTGTGTCAGGGTGGTTTATTCCTTCTGAGGCTGGTTTCTTGGTGACTGGCTTGCTTCTATTTCAACAATGACCTTGGGCATTTTTGCATTTGCGGAAACAGATTGAAACTCTGGGCTCATTCTGGCCTCTCATCAGCCCTGAAATGGCTGTTCATTAGTAATTTGACTTTCAAAGCTCTCTAGTTTCTATTGATTTTTGTTTCTGTTATACTCCAACCCCATACTCTGTTTTAGCCACACCAACTTTCTTGAAAGTTCCTTGGCTCTTCTGCCTGTGTCTCACAGTCTGCTGAGTTGAGTCAACACTTTCCTCTTATCAGCTGTATCACATTTTTCTCTTTCACTCACAACTCTGGGTTATCTTTACATGAGTATTCTCCTTTATTATTCCTGTCCTTTTATCTGTGTCACAAAGAAAATCCTTGAACTTCTTTAATATACTTATGCAATTATATTTGTATTTACATTCATGTAAATGGATTACCTTCCTATGAAACAATATATTAAGTCCCTGTGAGAACATTTAGCCTGCAGTATTTTCTCTGGTTCCCATTAGTGTTAGGGAGTACTTTGCAAGTGTCTGTTGGCTAATTGATATCTCTTCCATGAAAGGTCTCCCAGCATTTGGTTCGTCCTTTGATGGGCATGAGTCTGGCGTTGCAGTGCCAAGTGAAGGAGCTCGCAATGTTGCTTCGAATGAAAGATCTAGAGATCCAGGACTACCAGGAGAGTGGGGCCACCCTGAGCAGAGGTGAGAAGACATTCTTTGAGATGCTGGGTAGGGAGTGGTACAGATAGTCGAAGGGCTGTAGGAAAGGGGGGACCCTCTTTTGTTTTCAAGAGGTGCTTCTGTGAGGGTGGGTGCTGAGTCCTGACCAGAATGGGAGACTTGATGCTAGGTGACACTATTTTCTGCCTTGAATACCTGGCTGGCATCCAAGTAGCTAAAAGAAGCTGTAACTGAGTTCAGATATGCCCATGTAATGTTATGGAAAGACTTTGGAAAAGGGCCAGTAGATATACAAAATTAGCCGGGCAACATGTTCTTGGGACTTCAGGAAGCTGCATAGCTCTAACTTCAGAGTAACAATTCAGCCTGACCTCTGTCTTTTGGCAAGAACTAGAGCCCGTGCTGCCACCGACGCTGTCATTTGTTGCAGATCACCCTCTTCTCCTCTTGTTGGCCTGCACACTCTCACTGCTGCTTCTCTCCATGGTCTGGGTGCCTCTGGATGTTGCATCTTTATGCTCTTCCCCAAGCCGTCCCGGGCCCTGTTTCCTTTCCATCTCACAGGGAGGGAGTTCATCCTAAGACTCATACTTCTTTTCTCTATCTCTTCTTATTACAGATCGGTTGAAGACGAAGCCATTTGAAGAGAATTCCTTCTTGGAAAAATTTATGGTAGAGGTAGAGTATCTGTTTTTCCCCTTCTGTTTGTGCCACTTTCTTTGCTTCCTCTTTCCAGGTGTCTGAGTGGGGACTTGAGTTTTCCATGTTAGGTTGCTTACACAGTTGGAAAGTCCTTTCTCTGAAGAAGTTGCCTATAGAAAGTCTGATAAAGCTTGAGGTGTACTTGTGGAAAATGGGGGAATGTAGAGGGAAAGAATGTAAAGGAAAGTGGGCTGATTAACATTTGTAAAACATCTCTGTTAAAGTACGTAGGGATTTCATTTGAAATTCTCTAAAGCTTCGTTTGGCCAGTTGGTAAATTTTTGCTTGTTGAAATCTAATCACAGGTCAGTATCTAATACTAGTCAGTATTACTTGTCCAGGCCCCTTCAACAGCCCACAGTAGAGGAAGGCGAAAAGTGTAGGGCTACCATTTGGGGACCGTCTTGTGGGCACAGTAGGCTGTGGAAAATCACAGTGTTTATGCAAGGGGACTGGCAAAGAAATGAATGGGGAATAGATAATTGTGGGCTGTCAGAAGCTCCTGCCTATGTTTCCCTTCGAAGGATTGAGCCTGGCCAAAAGAAACATCTATTAAATGCCAAATAGGGGAGTATTAATAATAGTGACCTTTGATAATACCAGTCAATATTGATCTTCTCCTTCTCTAACTCTTCTGGGACTTGTTGGTTTTACAGTTAGTACCTTAGTATTATTGCCCTATTTTCTAATTATATCTGTTGCCCAAGTTGGTACTTTAATATGTAAGTAAATAATATCATTATAATACTGTGTTATGTGTAGATTATTCATATTTCTGTCTTGTCTCATGGGCTAATTTGCAAACTCCTTGTGGACAGGGACTGTGACTCATACTTCTTTTGAACATGAAATTAGTACTTTTCATTGGGCTAGGTATAAAGCAGGTGTTCTTGGCTTGGAAGCTTCTGTTCTGCCCTTGTGCATTGAGCAATGACCCTAATGCTTGGGGTCTTAAACACCAAGAACAACAAAATGGCCAGTTGAGTGCTCAGTCCATCTACTGAAGCAGTTGTAAGAAGGAAAGCATTGTTGTGAAGTCCTGAAGCAGGATAGGTTTCAAATCTTTATAGGGAAAAAATAGAGATAATTAAACCCAGACTTGTAACAGAGTGATTTCCTAGGCCATTTTTCTCTCAGATAGCTTCCCCCATCTATAAGGCTTGGTATTAAGGAGGTTGACGTAGGCTGGGAATGACCAGTTCCTGCCTCAGCCCCTTAGTTAAACAATGCAAGGCTATTCTTAGCTCAGCAGAGAGGTCCCTTTCTGCTCTAGTGCCTACATACCTATCCAGCTTGGTTTCTTGACGTTTTTCTTATGTGCTTTATACTTCAGCCATATAGAATGACTGAACTGCCAAAAATGCTGTTTTCTCTAGCCTCTACACACATTGTTCTCTCTGTCTAGAATGCCCAATGCCTTGGCTTTACCTACATTGTAAATATCTATTGATCTTTTAAGTGTCAGCTTCAGCTTCTTTGGGTGACCTTTCTTAATGCTCCCTGTAAAGGTAATCCTTCCTCTCTGCTGCTAGAGTACTAGGGTTCGTACCTCTATTTTACCACTTAAAGCTTTGTAATATTACTGTTTGTATGTCTGCAAGACTATGTCTTTCTCTTCCACTGATCTATGGACTGTTTGAGGGCAAGGACTATGTTGAATGCATTTCTGTATCCCCAGCACTGAACATAGTGCCTAGAAGTAGAAGGTTCTCAATAAGTTTGTGGATGAATATAATGAATCTGTGCAAGGGTGATTTTATGAAAATAGTGGCAATGTGGCCTGTGAATACAGCGTTGCTTGTTAGACCTATATTTGGGGTCTTTGGTTATCCTCCTGGTTTATTTTGCAGCTTTAGATAAATCACTTCTCTCAAAGCCTTCATTTTGTCATTTGTAAAGTTAGGGGCTCATCTCTTCCATGTTATTGGGGTGGGGGAATCTCCGCCGAATTGAATGAGAAAGCGTATAGAATCCAGGTGCTGGCCCAGGAAGGGTGCTGTTGTTTTGGACCCAACTATTTCAAGAATACTGGTCTTCTAGGATCTCAGTGGGTCACACCCCAAACCATAGAGACGTGCAGCATTTTATTATATGTGGAAAGGACCTGAGAGATAGGTAGTTGTAGCTTTCCATTTCATTGATTAAGACAGTGGCCTCAGAGAGGTTAAGTGACCTGCTGGAGGTCATATAGCTCTGGGTGTTTGTTTAGGACCTTCTGCATTTTTGGTCTAGGATTATTCTTAGTTTGTGTTGCTGCTTTAAGTAGTGGTACATCCCAGTTAGAGGAGAGTTTAGGGCTAGGATGCTGTGGGGTTCTTATGACCTCTGGGATCACTGCACTGTCCTCCAGGATCACTGAATATCCCGTATGGCTGTTAGAATTGAAAGGTTTTCTAACAGGACTGAAGGATTTCTTATGACCACTTCATCTTTTCACTTATTCTGCTTGCCTGGGGTCTTACAAACAGGACACAGAAGGGTCGTGGGGTCACTCAAGACTGAGCTGAAAGGATGTGCCATCAAAATAAGCAACATAGGAAGATAAACAAACCAGGGACAGAGAGCTTGGGATGAAGGTGCGGGGGGCCAGGGCTGATGTCAGAGGGTCATGTGGTCAGTGCTTGGGATCTGTTTTTCCTAATTCTCTTTGGGACTGGTGCTAGTCAAGAGGCCACAGAGATAGGGCACAGGGAGGTTTCTAGGATACGAAGGCCAGGAAAAGTGATTAAGTATTGAACAGAGGTTACTTTTCCATATTTAGTTCTTTTGTCTTTCAACTCCCACTATGAGCCCCTGATTTCTCATTTCCAGGGAGCTCAAGGGGGCCAATTAATGGTGGCCTAACTAGAGGGAGAAATACTGGCAATGTTGATGCAAATCAGCTGGGTGGGGTGGCTGCTGGCATGATCCTCATAGAGGGCAAGATCCCTGCAATGAGCATTTCCTAGAATTCAGGCCTGAGCAGCACCTTCAGGAGGGACAGATGAGTCCAGGAAGGGGTACTATTATTGCATGGCAGTAGGAGCTGTGTTAAAGAGAAAGTTTAGGGTGAATAGGCTGGGATAGCCCCATCTCAGTCTAGTCCACCGGAGGGAGTTCCTTTCCCTAGCCCTATCCATGCCTTCTTTGCTCCATCTGGTTGCCATCAGGCTGTGTGGCTGCTGGCAGGCTCTTTATTTATTTATCCCAGTGTAATGGGGTGAGGAGGGAGCTGGCCTAAGGCTGGCATTCCGAGGCTATGCCGCTGAGCCACAGGCAGTTTGCATGGGTGTGTGAGTCACTGGGGCTGCATGCTGCTCAAACCAGACTTGGCCAGGCTCAGGGACAGCAGGCAGCCCAAAATAGAGCCCCGCCCTCTGCATCTAGCAACCCCTGGCTAGGCATCAGCTCTTGACACCAAAACCTGGGCAGTTGCATGAAATTGGCTTCCTTAGATGGAGCGGGGGTATGTTTAAAGGACAAAGATTTTGCACTTCTCTCTATCTTCAGAGGAGAGTAGTCAGAATAGCAGTCACTCTCATTGGGGTACTCTGAATGTCTTTTAAGACTTGAAGTAATCTGTTCGGTATCATACCTTAACCAATTTTATTATGTAATTATATGACTACAGTTAACATTGATTTGACTCAGCATCCTAAATGTAGTCTTGGCCTTTATGTCCTGTCTAGCCTTGGTTACTATCTTCATCCCTCGTCTGGTTGCAGCCTGATTCTAGAGCAGATACTTCAAGCTACAAAGGTATTCAGCGCTGCTCTTAGGAAGCTAGAAGTGATATTAAAGACACCTGAGGAAGCTGGGGAGTCCTTTAACCTGAAAAGTGTTATCCTGTTAAGTTGATTCACAGACAGCTTCTACTTGGTTTCCTCAGTTGGCCTTCTACTCTTTACGTGCCTCTTAAATGTTAGTGTCACCCAGGATTGTGTCCTTGATCTCTTGCTCTTCGCTCTTTCTTTCTGGGTTATCTCATCCAGACCCCGGAGTCAACTATCACTTGCACACCGCTGAGTTCTGATTTTGTATCTCCACTATGTTCAGGCTGTATTCCTTTCTACATATTTGACATTTCCCCCAGAATACCTCACATGTAACACCCTAAATATGTCCAGAATTAATCATCTACTCCAATTTCTACTCCTGTTTCTTTTCTCATATTCTTTATCTTGGGGAATTATAACACTTCCAGTCAGTTTTCTAAGCTATAAACTTGGAATTTACCCGCTTTTCTCTTTGTCCTTACTTCTAAAACCCAGCTTGTCAACTGTCTTTTGAATCTGATCTTCTCTAGTTCAGCTTCCACTGCCTTCCATCAGCCACCCCCTTCCCTCTTTTTGGTTTGACCATGCAACAGCCTCCTGATTTGTCTCCACATCCATCCCTATGCCCCTCCAGTTGAACTTGCAGTTAATGGCAGAGTGATGTCTTTGAAATAGAAACTTGATTGCTCAAAGTCATTTCATGGTTCCCAGTTTCGGAAAGGATACAGTTCAAACTCCCTGCACACCATAGAAGATTGTTCTTGATTTGGTCCTACTGACTTCTTCAGCCTGACCTCTGTCATTGCCCCATAGCACTCCATACTGAAGTACAGCTTCCTGCCTGTGTATCTCTTGACCAATTTGCCTGGTATTCTCTTCTCACTTGTCCTCATGGCAGACTCCTATTCAACTTTTCCAACTCTGTGCAGCCATTATCCTTTTTTGTGTTTTCCATGACCATTTTTCCTTTCCTTGGTCTTCTCTCCTTCTTCCAGGCATGGGTACATTATCTCGCTATTCCTGCAGCCCCCTGTGCATACCTCTGCCATAGTGTTTGGCGGAAGGGAGAATATCAGAAATGAATATGGAGGCAAGGGACAATTGAGATGGCTGATCTTTTCCCATTTGTGTTTTTCCTTGATAATGCTTATCAATTCCTTCTCCTCAATATACTCTGTCAGCATTGCTCCCACACTGCCATGCTCTCCTGTTTTTCTTCCT